GAGATTATCTGGGGGTAAAAGATATCCATGTGATTTAACATTGTGAAATTAACCCATGACCTTCGAGCTGCTTTGATGGAATAATAAGAGTGGAGCCAGTCTGGAGTGGGAAGAAACGGAACTAGGATGAACTCACAGGGAAGATGAGTGTTAAGAGCTGTTACAAAATCGGTTTCTGAAGTGGAGGGGGGAGATGGAGGAGTAGATCTAGGAGGACTATGGGGTTGTGTGACATTGTTTTAAAAAGAGAGAGACTCAAGCATATATTTGTTCAACACATATCTATCAGTTACCTTGTAGTCAGCCCTATGTAGGCAACAGGGACGTAGCAAAGACTTAAGAAACCTTGTTCCAGTGGAATCTACTTTCTAGTGAGAAGGGACAGAGACAGTCAGTAAACATATAAATGCATAACATGCCCAGTGATGATGGTGTATGAAGACAAAAAAAGTGAAGAAAGGGGATTGAAACTATCCATAGGGGGAATATTATTTTCTACAATGAATGATCAAGAAAGACCTCTCTGCTGCATGGCTGCTAGATATCACACACACAAACACACACAGATGAAGGATGCCCAGCCAAATTTGAACTGCAGATAAGCAACAAATACTTTTCAATACAAGTATTTCCAGTGCAATATTGGGGACATACTTATACTAAAAGATTATTTGCTGTTCATGCTAAGTTGCTTCAGTCGTGTTTGACTCTTAGCGACCCCACGGACTGTAGCCCGCCAGGCTCCTCTGTCCATGGGATTCTCCAGGCAAGAACACTGAAGTGGGTTGCCATTTCCTCCTCCAGGGGATCTTCCTGACCCAGGGATTGAACACACGTCTCTTAGTCTCCTGCATTGGCAGGCAGGTTCTTTACCACTAACAAATGGGAGGCCCATTTGTTCACCCTGTATTTAACCCAGCAAGCCCACTCTGGTCAGATGACATTTTCAATGTTTAATGTCAGTGGAGACTCTGGTTAAGAGAGGCCAGTTGACTATAAAGGAGAGAAGGGAAGCTGTACTGGAGAGTGGTCTGAAGCCCCTGAGGACCATGAAGGGATGGGATCCGAAGGCCAGGTATAGGGGTGGACCCTAGACAGTGGAAGGAAGAGAGAACGTGTGCGGATGGCAGTGGTATATAAGCACGGAGGGAGAAGAGGAAGGCCTCCTGGGTGATTCCTTCGATGTTTCTCTGGGAGTGGGATGGAAAGACAGGGGCTAAGAGGGGGAGGTGTGTGGCAGGGAGACGGCTTGGAGATTGAATAGAATGGAGATACGAGAAGAGGAAGCTCTTGAGTTGGCCTGCTGGGCTGAGAGCTCTTTATGGCTGAGGCTGACTATTCATGGTCTCCATTACTCTCCCAGAGCACCGTGAAGGTGGGAGCAGAGAAGCTCAGTCTACTCACTGACCCCCTGCTCTACCCCTCCCCAGGTTCCTGTAGGGACTACTTGCTAAATACTCACACCCAGCATCCTCGCCCTGGGGCTTCTCCAGAGAATTGGACCCATTAAGCATTTAAGCTATTTTCCTTTAGTTGGAAAGATTGCTGTCCCCGTAGAAGCTACTTTAATAGCCCTACTTAGGAAAGGCGATGAAGTTGAAGATACTCTCAAAAGAGCCATTTATGAAGCATCTAATTTTGACACACACACTCCATCTTCACAGCCTGAAGTAAACTGGAGATCTGGCAATTAACCTGCTAATTTGAACAGTATTGACAGTCAGTCAGCATAGATAACACAGTAAACTTGACTTTTGGGGGTCTGGCTTTTGTCTCAATCGTGTTTCGCTTTCTGCTTCTTATATGCTCCTTCAACGTGGCATCTTCCCGCGTTTTAGTTGCACACGGCGCATTTAAGAAAGAGGCAAGTCATTTTGAACAAGTCAAAACATATTTTACTCACTATTAGCACTTTTCATGTCATAATCATATTGTTGCCTTCTTAACAAGCATAATAATTGCTTTGCATTATTTCATTTATATGCAGAACATTTTTACAGCATGTACTTTCATGTTTCACAAACACAAGGCTGAATAGAGAGCACCTTCCAGAATGAGAGTGACGAAGGTGAAGGTAACTTCCTCTGCTGTGGAGATTAGCTCAGCAGGCCATTGCGTGGGGCTACTATCTGAGCAAATCGAGAGCTCAGCGGGCAGCAGCATTTAGTGACATGTCCCTTCCGCCTCTGAACACTTGAGTGCACGTGAGATCAGCATTCAGCAGGAGACATGGAAACATTTACCAATCCTGAAAAGACAGATTTAAGGTTGGGTGACAGGAGCTGGGGGCTTCCCCTGTGGCTCAGTGGTCAAGAATCTGCTTGCAATGCAGGAGACCCAGGTTTGATCCCTGGGTCAGAAAGATCCCCTGAAGGAGGGCACAGAAACCCACTTTCAGTATTCTTGCCCGGAGAATCCCGTGGACAGAGGAACCTGTTAGGCTACAGTCCATGGGGTCACAGAGTCGGACACGGCTGAAGTGACTGAGCATGCATGCCCACAGGCAAGGGGGGAGTTCTGTGCAAAGAGACCCCCTCTTCCCTTCCCCCAGGTGGAGAACAGCCTGAGAACCTTCAGAGACACACTTCAGAAGCACTCCCCCCGACCCCATATATATATATATATATACATTTTTTTTTTTTTACTTTTTATTTTGTTTTGGGGCAAAAGAAAGTGAGGTGTTAGTCACTTTGGTCATGTCCGACTCCTTGCAACCCCATGGAATGTAGCCCACCAGACTCCTCCATCCATGGAATTTTCCAAGCAATAATACTGGAGTGGATTGCCATTTTCTCCTCCAGGGGATCTTCCCAACCCAGGGGTTGAACCTGTGTCTTCTGTATTGCAGGCAGATCCTTCACTGTGAGCCACCAGGGAGGCCCCTGTATGAGAGTATAGCTGAGACACAAACCATGTGTCGATGGTTTCATAGTGAAGCAAAAGGGACTCAGCGATGCATATACATCATATACATGTACCCACTCTTCCCCAAATCCCCCTCCCATCCAGGCTGCCACGTAATATTGAGCAGAGTTCCATGTGCCATACCACCTTCTCTGGATGGATTTAGATAGAAGAGGCTATCTGTAAACAACCTTCAATCAGTGACTTAGAACTAAAATAAGAGACGGGATGGGGGAGATATCAGGAGATATCAGATATTTAACTATCACTTGATAGCTAAATATGTGATATTTGGCTTTCTTGGCTTCCCTGGGTCTCGTCCTCTGTGGACCTTTCCACAGATGCATTCTTAAGTGATGTGGAACTGGGTTTCTACCTGTTATCTGTAACCACCTCATTCACATGCAGCTTGAGGCAGAAGTCTTTCAGCATTTGTGAAGTGGATGAAGGGACAGAGGAAAATTCTCTCCAGGTCACATGTTAGGAAATGTTGTCTCTTACATGTGAGAAAGACTGGTCCCCTGCCAGCTTTCTGGGTGTTTCTGTACAAAATCACTCTGACCGATCAAAAGCCTATGAGGGATTGCTGCCTGGTTGTGACTGGGATCTTTGTTTCTTTCACAGAGTCAGAGAATTCAGACGTGAAAGAGACCAGTGTACGCTGACCTTGTCCAATGGTCCTGAGATGTCCCACTGGCCTACCCTGGTGGATCACAATCGCCTGTGAACAAAGTGTCAGAGTTTTGCATCAGAAGGATTAAGGATTATTTCCAGGTTAATGCCACGTTCCCTCAATTGCATTCTGATGTGTTTTCTTCCCTGGGTGACAGAGCAAAGGTGCCATTTCCCACAGTCTGTGTGTCTATGTGACCGTGGGCTGTGCTTGTGAACAGTATCTCCCATGAAGACATGGAGGAATAAAGGTTGAGAAGTTAGTCACCCTGAGCTGATGGCTGTCTCACATCCACTGGCCTACTGGTTAGGGTCAAGGCTCAGCTGCAGTGTTAGCAACACCCCTTCCAAGTACTTGGGGGGTGTGGCCTCAGATATCTAAGGGGCAGCCTGTGGTTTTGAACTTTTACTGGAGTGGCAAGTAGCCAAGACTACTTGACCTTGAACCTCTGTCTTTCAGCCCTGGGACAAGAAAAATGATTGCATTGGTTTTGAGGGGGATTACAAGCTGTATATCCCAACTCTGTCTTTTGCAGAAGGTCCCATTAAATGTCACTGCTTACCTCAAACCTGAAAGTGTGTTAGCCTATCAGTCATGTCTGATTCTTTGCAATCCCATGGACTATAGCCCACCAAGCTCCTCTGTCCATGGGGATTCTCCAGACAAGGATTCTGGAGTGGGGTGCCACTCCCTTCTCCAGGGGATCCTTCCAACCCAGGGATCAAACCCAGGTCTCCCACATTGCAGGCAGGTTTCTTTACCATCTGAGCCACCAGGGGAGTGCCTAAGACATGAAAATAAGGCAATTCTGTTTTGTGCCGTCTCTTCTGTTGCACAGACAAAGTGAAGTGGAGAATGGTCCAGTTAATCTACGTTAATAAACACATATAAGGAACTTGGAAAATTAAAGCCAAGACTCACGTGTTCCTCTTAAAAGCAGGCTTGCTTTTAAGAATATTACTGCTCCATTTTATTTTTAATTTGTGGATAGCATATCAGAGATAGACTATTCAGCTTCTGCTTTCTTAGTAAAAATTCCAATTCTGTCCTTTGACAGAAAAGACTTGCTATTACTCCACTGCTAGTTCAGGGAGAATTTAAAACAAACATAACAGACACATATACAAAACAAAGAAACAGAAGCTCATCTTTATTCTGTGTATCAGAGCACATCAATAACCTTTTTTCCCCACACTTGACTTTAAAGCTTTTTTTTTTTTTACCTTGGTATATCATACTGGTCTTATTGCTGTTCCTTCACATATCAGTGGTTTTCCGTCTTCCTCCCTCCACCCACAGTCTGGCTACACAGTGCCTTCTTGAACCGCTAGTTCACAGCAGCAGTAAGATTTTTTCCACACCTCTAACGCCATTCATTCACAAAGTCACAGTTCTGGTCCATAAACCCTTCCCTGTAGGAGGTTCAATGCCTGCGAAAGAATTTGTAATAAACCAGGCCTCCCAGAATGGCTAGCTCCAGTAAGATGACGATGGAAAGCAGCAGCTTGTTGGTTGTCACTTTTCTGGACATTGAGCTGAGAATCTTCCGACTTTTGCTCAAGTTTTCACTTGTATTTACCAGTCTACTCTTGGTACGTTCCAACTGGTCACATTGCTCCCCCAGCTCTTCTATGATTTCTGAGCCAATCTGGTCAGTCTCTGCAGCAACAGGATGAGAACGCTCAATACTCTGGGTGGCCCGGTTCAGGCTGTCAGTGCCTTGAAGAAGCAATGTCCTTTGAGACTGTAGCCGATTCATATGCTCATTCTCCACAGTGTATGTACCGTATTTCATGTCTCCTCGGGCCCCAGGAGTGGCTGTCAAAGGTGTACTTCTCACTTCCCGATGGAGTTTAGCAAGGTCCTTCCAGTAGGTTCGAAGCTTAGACATCATAGGGTTACGGAAAGATAGGGGTGCGTCACGTAGTTCCTCTTCCATTTCTGCCAGCGTTTCATTTGCTTCCTGTTGCTTTTCATCGAAATCTCTGATCAACTTCTTCTTCTCTTCTGTCCCTGCCATCCCCAGGAGCCGCTCCGGCACCCCTCGTAGGTCTTCATGGAGGCCGCGGAAGATCTAGTGCAGTTTCTTGAAATGCTCCAAGGAGGCGGTGGAGGTGGCCATGGCGCAGGCCGCTTTCGAGCAGCAGGCGCTGAAATTCTGGGCCCAGGGCCCGTTCCTACTCCGTCGTCAGCCGCCCAGCCCCGCAGGCATCACGGCGACCGCCACCACTCGACTTTATAGTTTTGTTTTTTTTTTTTCATTTATTTTTATTAGTTGGAGGCTAATTACTTTACATCATTGCAGTGGTTTTTGTCATACATTGAGATGAATTAGCCATGGATTTACATGACTTTATAGTTTTTAACCTTCAATGCTGATTTACTTATAGGAACAAGGTATGGGATTTAAATAATCTACTTTAGAATATAAATTATCAGCTGAATAATTAGAGGTTACTCATTGGATAAAAATGAGTTTTCCCCTTTGAGAGGACCCATTATATGTTGCCTTGTACATTCAGCTATCAACAGTTCCTTCTAAATCCATGCAATAAATCAGTTTTCAAATGATAATGGTGACTGCCTTGCAGGAGGCATAATACTTCTTTCTCTGTATATCTACCGAGTGTTAAATACATTGAGAGTTTAGAGCTTAAAACCAGTATAGTTAGGTCATTTATATTTGGTCAATAATGAAAAGAATCCACTATATTTAAACCAAGCCTTACAAAACACTTCTCATGTATTATTTCCCTTGCATTTTACAAAAGACTATAGAAAAAGGAATTGCTAAACAAATTATGTAACATCCAGCCAATGGAGCATTTTGCAACCATTAAAATAGGATCGGTATGAAGTGGGATGATACCACACTTTTGAGTAAAGGAATCAATTACAGAACAACATATACAGCATGATTCCATTTTCATTAAAAATTGTAATGTGTGGCTTTTACATACATCTAAGTAAATATATATTACGTCTGAGTATGGGCCTAGAAACTATGCCTCGAACTCTGGGGTGATCCTGAAGGGGAGGAGAAGGAGACACTGCCGCTTGCCCTTCAGAAAGCACCGGCCTTCCTTCATGGCTCAGACGGTAAGTGACCCACCTGCCGATGTAGGGACTGGGTTTGATCCCTGGGTCAGGAAGATCCCCTGGAGAAGGTCATGGCAACCCACTCCAGTACTCTGGCCTGGAGAACTCCATGGACAGAGGAGCCTGGCAGGCTGCAGTCCATGGGGTCCCAAAGAGTTGGATATGACTGAGCGGCTAACATTTTCACTTTCAGAAAGCACAAAGTATGGGTGATTTAACCATTTTTTTGTCTTTCTGCATTGTCACATGCAAAACTTTCCAAAAATGTTGTCTTCATTTTGAGGATGAAAAAGCAAGGCTCAGATTTTAAATGATTCTTGCAAAGTCAGGCCACTCACTCTTCAAACCCAGGCCTCCCAGTTTGATTCTGCAGCAGTAGCTCTGGCTACCGTATGCCCAGAAGAGCGTCTGAACTGCTGGCTAGGTTGGGAAAGACCTGCAAGCTTCCAGCTCTACCATTCGGTGTTCCTTCGTAAGACTTCTTGTCTCCAGCAACCAAGCGTTAGCCTAGTTAGCATATAAAAATATAAAATAGAAGCCGCTAACTGCCTGTATTTTCTTTTGGGAAGAAGGCAGCCTACTTGAGTGTGTCCGGATGGAAATCCGGAAATTTGTGTTCCTACCCAAGTCGTACGTGTGGGGCGAACCCCCGATCACTGTATCTCAGTTTCCTCACCTGTGAAAATATTGTGCTGACCTACTTTCCCGGGATCACTGGGTGGGCCACTTCATGATTTAAAACTGCTTTGAAAATACAAAGCTCCATTGAAATTGTTTGTCAAGGGTTCCTCCTGGCTTACACCTTCCTTCCTTCTCATGCCCTTCTCTGGCATCTGAGCCCTCTAGACTTGGTGTTTTTCTAATCACAAAGCCTACAAAATTAAGCAGTAATTTTCGAGTCAGAAATATGTCTTCCAGTATTTGGTTCAAATGAGAACGGTGTCATTCTTTCTCTTAAACCTGAATAAAAGCTCTGTATGTGTGCGTGTGTGTGTGTGTGTGTGTGTGTGTGTGTGCCTGCTTAACACAATCAAGCAGAAGCTCATTCGATCTGGAGGCAGCTTGCAATGCTTGCATCATGAGGGCGGGTCCCTGGCTTCATGTGGCGTTGTGAGGCTTACCATCACCGGGACAGTAGGATTCAGTGGTACAAACAGAAGAGGGGAGGCAGAAACTGTTTTCGCTTCTCTCTCCCCTCACTCAATTTTTTAAAAATTTATTTATTTTTAACTGGAGGATAATTGCTTTACAGTATTATGTTGGCTTCCCCCATACATCAACATGAATCAGCCATTGGTATACATCTGTCTCCTCCCTCTTGGACCTCCCTCCCATCTCCTATCCCATCCCACCCCTCTAGGTTGTCACAGAGCACCAGGTCTGAGCTCCCTGCATCACACAGCAAACTCCCACTGGCTATGTATTTCACACATGGTAGTTTATATGTTTCCATGCTACTTCCTTAATCCCTCCCATCCTCTCCTTCCCCCACTGTGTCCACAAGTCTGTTCTCTAGGTCTGTGTCTCCACTGACAGATGAACGGATAAAGAAGTTGTGGTACATATACATGTGGTACTAGGTTGGGAGTAACATATTACTCATTCACTTTTGCTGTCTGTTCCGTGACTGCCCTCACCCCATGGGGAAGTGGTGACAAAGGGTCAATAAAGCACCATGGAAATAAAAAGAAGAAAAAGAGAGCAGGGAAGGGAAACCAAGAATTTACAGGAGCTGCTTTCAACAACTCAAATACTGTTGAGTGAAAGTTAAAGTCTCCACCAAGAACAGAGCGCCTCCTCCTTCCACCCCACCTCTCACCCTGAGGGGGCCACGGGACGCCGAGCAGGAGATGTGGGTGGTCACAGTACAGGTCTGCCCTGTGAAACACTTAACACCTGGGTATGACACAGACCTGGGGAATGCCAGCCCTCTAAGTTACAGCTGGAATCCCTTCAATCACTCTCTCTTCTTTTATATTTGAATATTTCTGACATTTTCTCAGTGTTAATCCTGAGTTTGGGGTTGGTAAAGATGCCTTTTCCAAATACATCATTCTTTCCTTGGGCCATCAACATCCTGTCACTGTCCCAAGACCTACACCTGTGTACAGCGGGCAACTCAGAAGGGTGAATAAAACCAGTTTCCCATGCTATGTATCAGCTCTTCTGCAATTCTAGGATTCTGTCTCCAGACTCCTGTCAGCTGACTTGGGCAATGGGCATGCTTTTGGTTTAGAGGGGTTTCTTTGGTTCATGATCATCCTTAATACATTTATGAAAGCCCCACAAAACCCACTTTAAGAAAAAAGAGAACTGATTCTTTTCCTCTCCGATATACTCTCAGATTCAGGTTGTGTTCTCTTAGATTTTTGAGGGAAAAAGGAATCTCTGTGCATTTCTTGCCCAGTCACCCAGTGGGTTTCCAAAATGCCTCCCCAACTTCTCCACGAGGTGGGCCCCCAGTCTCCAGCTGAAGCCTTCCGGGGACTGGCAGCTCTTTCCTTCTCGGAGCAGCTCTGATGGAAAGGCCTCTGCCACATGGAGTGGGGGCCACGGTGGCTTGGGCACAGGTCCACCCTGGAGTTCTCTCCTGGAACTGTGGAGAATAAACCTAGTCTCTTGAAGATGACTCTCACATGCCTCCTCCATCTCGCGAGCTGTCCTCAAGTCTTTTCTCCTCCTGACTGAATAGTCTTGCCTCCTTCCTTCCAATAAACAGCCGCCTGGCTGCTGCAGGTGTCATGGCCTGTGGGACAGAGATGAAGCCCTCTGAGCCCTAGAACGCAATCAGGGCTGTGGATGGAAGAAATGTGAGCATCCACACCTTCTCTCCTTTGCACCCGAGGAGCCCACACCCAGCGCTTCTGCTGAGGGTGGGCACTCAGGGCGTGAGCCCACCTTCCTTCCCTCCATCCGAATATGCCCTGAAGGGCAGGGTGACCGCCTCACACCTGCTCCCTCTCTGAGGCCTGAGCAAGGGCGAGGCTGGGCATCAGGGGCTGACGGGCACAGTCCCTTCATGATATCCTCAAGGAATCAACTCAATCTTTGGGTCACCCCACTCAGGTTTAAAATTGCAGGGAGGCAAAGTTTGATTGTGCAGCAGTAGGCAGGCCACCTTGGTTGACACAAGGACTCTGCTGGACTTGGGGGACATCATGCTGTATTTCCTAGAGCAGGGAGAGTGAATTCCCAGTGGACCTAACAGCTGTCTATTAGCATAGGTGACATCATTTCTGTTTTATTTTTTCCAGCTTCAAGTGCACTTTATTTCACATTGAACAAAATACAAAATAATGTACCACAAGCAATCATTTTGCTGGTTAAATAGTCAAATTACACAATTAAATGGACTGAAGTTATGACTAATTATAAGCATAATGATGAGAACACAGATTGAGGAAGCCCAGACGAATGTGACATAATGTCTGTTTTACAGATTAGGAAACGGCAACTCAGAGAAGCTGTGCAGATCTCCCCAGGTCACACAGGAAATAAGTGGCGGGGCCAGGGTTTCAACCTACACCCTTGGGACTCTATAAAGTCCAGGTGCCTCCCATTCCTCCTCGCTGCCTGTTTGCCTGACCTGCGTATGGATATTGATATTTGGAGTCGAGCTATGCCTGGTAGGAGAAGAAGGGGACGACAGAGGATGAGGTGGTTGGACGGCATCACTGACTCAATGGACGTGAGTTGGAGCAAACTCTGGGAGAGAGTGGAGGACAGGGAAGCCTGGCATGCTGCAGTCCATGGGATCGCAGAGTCAGACACGACTTAGCAAGTGAACAGCAAATGCCTGGTAGGCAGAAACCCTGCTGTCAGTCCTATATCTGGGTCATC